TATCGCAAAGAGAGCTACGCACTGTAAGTCTTTGTACGATATTTTGCACTAGCATATGACTCCCTATTTCGTCAAGGCTTGAGGACTCAATGAAGCTACCAGGCCAATTGAATGGTAGCTCTCCCCCTCGTCGCCTTGGATTTTAGGGTAATAGGTTTCAACTGATCAGGAAAGGTCGCGAAATTGTGTCACCAGGTTTTCGCGCTAAACCAGATTGAATTAATCGTGAGCCAAGACTTTCAAAGTGGGTCGTCGCTATACCTATTTGAATTTATCGTGAGCCAAGAAATTCTTTGTCATCAACCAACTTGACTAGAATCAATCGACTAAATATTCTGAATCATCATAACTTATTCCACAGACTTGAGAAAAATCGGGGTCTAGTTTCATCAAAATAAGCTTGTCTCGCTCTATCATATACTTGGCTTTTGGCCCATTTTGAGAAGTTTTTGTTCTCTGAACTCACGCATCAACCCTAACCTCCATATCCCCATATGAGCTAGCTGCTAGAAGGAAAAGGCCAGCTAAAACCCCTTCCCCAGAGACAGCAAGACCTTCACAGAGGCAGAGGCAGCAGCCTTCCAGCCCTAGCCCTTACCCTCTCCTAAGCTCTCAGTCTCTTAGCCCACCCCAAAGCAGCCTCTTTCCAGAAGACCAATCCAGGTTATTTTCCCTAGACCTTCCTGAAATCCCTATCTTCCCTATAGCTAAAAGAGGAAGACCTAGGCAAGAGACTGCTTTTCAGGCTAGTATTCCCCCTTCTAGTCCTATAGAAGAGGATTCTATTCAGTCTCCAGCTAGGTCTATATCACATATCTCACAGACCCAAGCCGGATCTATCCCCAGACCCCAGCTAGACCTATTCCTCAGGCTACAGCTAGGTCTTCTTTAAGGTCATCTCAAAGGGCCTCCTCAAGGTCTTCTTCAAGATCTTCTTCCAAGTCCTCTTACAGATCTATATCTCAAGGATTTGCAGATATCTTATTAGACCTAGAGACTCCCTCTTCCTCTCCCCCAGACCTTCAGCAGCAACACCAAGAGGCTATAGCACCAATCTTAGCTAAGGGATCTATACAGAAGCTTCTAGCCTATACAAAAATCCCTATAGTGGAGAAAAAGCTACAAGCTAGACAGGCAGCTATTTTTAAGATAGCTACTCAGAAGGCTGCTGAGGCCTTTATAAAGAGACTTACTAAGAAAAACCTCTTATACTTTCTTATCCTCCCTAGAATCTTAGGTCTTGGAATCCAGAAAGGAGATTTATCTACCTATCTCCGAGCCTATCCTTCTAATATCCCTTCCCTAGAGACCCTAGAAAGCCTCCTACAAAGCCCAGCTCAAAGTACTTCTTTTTCCCCTTCTCAAGGAAGGAAAACAGCCCCTAGCCCAGCTAAGAGGGCAGCTAAGATGCTAGAAAGAGGCTTCCTAGGACGGGCTTCTCGAGCTCTTATAGACCCTACCCCTATAGCTGCTGATACAGCTGAAAACAGGGCTATTTTACTCGAAAAACACCCAATAGGCTCAAAAGACCCCTTTTCAAGAAAGACTCGCCCAAGACCTGGCCAACCTATCACAGAGGAAGCTATCCTTGCCTCTATAGCTACTATAGGAAAAGAAAAAGCCCCCGGCCTTAGTGGCTGGACTAGGCCACTTCTAAACCTAGTATCTAAGGCAGATTCCCCAGTTATAGCCTTCCTAAGGCTACTAGCTGATATGATAAGGCAAGGAACAGCCCCAGGGGCAGACCTACTATGTGCAAGCCGCCTTATCGGCCTAGAGAAGCCAGATGGAGGTATTAGACCTATTGCTATGGGAGATCTTATCTATAAGGTAGCTATAAAAGCTATCTTAAAGACCTCCTTTAGCTCCTCTATGCTATTGCCCTTCCAGCTAGGCGTTAGCAGCCCAGGAGGAGTAGAACCAGCTATCTTCCTTCTTGAGGAAGCTATAGCTGGCCCAAATAAGGCTGATTTCCAATATATCACCTCAGTTGACCTCCACAACGCCTTCAACAGCGGGGCTAGACCCTCTATAGCGTCCTCAGTGGCCTCCTTTGCCCCTACCTTCTATAGGGCTGTAACCTGGGCTTATAATAACCCCTCACTACTAGTCCTTCTAGATGGTTTAACTATAGCCTCTTCTAAAGGGGTTAGGCAAGGAGACCCAATAGGACCACTTCTTTTTTCCCTCTCTTTTAGACCTACTCTAGAGGAATTAGCTAGAAAGCTCCTAGGGGCAACCCTAGTTGCTTATCTAGATAACCTTTATATCCTATCTAAAGACCAAGGATCTCTAGATATAGCTAGAGAGGTACTAGAGAAATCACCTTATAAGCTTAACCTAGCTAAAAGCAAGGAAATAGCTATTAAGGACCTTAAAAACCATGGTCTCAAGACCTTGGGTACTTATATAGGTCCCCTAGAAGGCAGAAGGGCATTTCTAGAAGAAAAGCTAGAAACCTTACAGCAGGCTATAGCTGCTCTTCAAGACCTGCCTAAGCAACACTCCCTCCTTCTCCTACGAGGCAGTATCCACCTCCTTTTACAGCACCTCCTTCGGCAACTTAACCCAGAAGGTCTATCTGACCTATAGGAAAGAGCTGATATCCTTATTAAGGAAGCTATTATGACCTTAATAGCTAGGAGCCCAGCCGAGCGTCCTAAAGAGCCTGATCCCTATCTCTTATCCCTTCCTGTAAGGGAAGGAGGTCTTGGGCTTCCTTTACATAAGGAATTAGCCTAAGGCCTATATCAGGCAGCTAAGGAAACAGCTAAGAAGATCCTTAAGGGTATTACTAGCTTTTTTACTTCTTACCCCTCTCTATCTACCTCAGAAGCCCAAAACCCTAGTTAAGACTAAGGGAAATTAGCTAAAGAGGTTTTTAAAGAGTTAAATAAGGCTAAGCTAGAAACCTTCCTCTAAGACCTCCCTATATCCTATAAGCAAGCCAGGCTAGAGAATGCTAGCTATCTAGGCCGCAAGTGGCTTAGAGTCTTACCTATACAGAAACCCCACTCTTTTACAGACTCTAAGACCACTAAAGCCCTTAGAAGCAGACTTTTCTATCCTATTAAGCCTCTAGACCTGCCCTATAGTGCCTGTGGTGCTATAGCTAGCCTAGGTCATGAGGATACTTGCAAGGGAGCTAGCAGAAGGTAGATTGCAAGGCATAACGCTGTTAATAGGGCCTTTGTAAAAGCCCTAGGCAGCCGGCCTGACCTTAAGGTCGAGATCGAACCCCTAGTCCAGCAAGACTCCTCCCTCCAGGCTGACTTTGCAGTCACTATTGGAAATAGCCGCTACTTCTATGATATCCAAATCGTAGCTATCTCCAAGGACTCTGCAAAGGAGGACCCCTATAGCACCTTGAAGGAAGCTGCTAGTGAGAAAAGGCGGAAATATCAGTCTCTTGGAGCCTTCTTCCACCCTCTTATCTTCTCAGCAGGCGGCCTTATAGATCAGGAGACCTCACAGACCTACAAGAAGCTCCAAGAGCTCTTAGGTCCCTTTGCAGCCTCACAGCTAGACTCAACTATCGGCCTTACCTTAACTAAGACTAGGGCTATCTCAGCTGCCTCTATAGCTCGAGATCTACCTAGGAGAACGCACTCCTAGATGCCAACCTATCTTCTGTTTTAATCTATCTCTTTTCCCTATTTTTCCTTTACCTCTATCTCTCTTCTATCTCTATCTCTTTCTAATCTTTATATCTTTCCTATCTCTATCCCTTTCCTATCTCTATCTCTTTCCTATTTATATCTCTTTCCTATCTATATCTTACTTATATTCCTATCTATCCTTCTTATATTTATATCTCTTTTATCTCTTTTTATCTCTCTATCTCTTTTTCTTATTATCTTTCTAATCTCCCTTTTATCTCATTTATTTATCTCTTTTTTATAGTCTTTATAAATCCTTATATAAATAGCACCTAAGCAAGATAGCTTTCCATAGCCTAATATAACCCTATCCTAACCCTAAGAAATATAGATTAACAGTGTTTAAAATAATAATAGTAAAGATAGGTATTAAGTAGGAAACTATAGCGCTATTACTAGGTTGCTGACTTTCTAACCTGCCTTTATGCTTGCTATATATACTATAAATCTATAATAAACTAAAGGAATATTCTTCCTACCAAAAGCGCTACTACTGCAAGATCCCCTTGCAAACCTAATGGCAATACCAGCATTATTACAGGGGGGGTTGTATAGCCATATTGCAGCGCGCGCTTACATCGGCGTAATGCCTAAATCTCCTCTTAGGGTTGCTGAATGGACTGAAATAAATATTACCTTAATATAAATAGAGTAGACGGCCGTATAGGGCGGCATCTAAAACATAGCAGAGTAACTCCTGCTGCCAAACTATTAGGTATGTAGCTAGATAGTAGACTAGGCTAGGCCAGGTCTGGCTAAGTCAGGTTATAGAATAGGCTAATAGCTAAAGTATATAACCTAAGACCTAATAAGGCGTACCTTTAAGTCAGGAAGGTATCTGCATTAGAACTAATAGTTTTTATATATTTATAGAAACCTCTAGTTACTTAAGCTGCAGTAATATAGATATATTATTATTAGTTATAGTTAGAAAGTGGGGTTTTAATAGTTATAAACCTAAACCCTACCTTACTTAGCTAGGAGTTTTTAATTACGGACTATTTCTATATATATATATTTTATTACTTCGCATTTTCGCCTTAAGATATATAGATAATCTTAACATAATAAGTTAGCAAGAAGCAGTACTAAAACCTAAAGCAATAAGAATGCCTCCTCCTAACAGGATTGGCACTACTAACTGCAGCGACTTTGTAGACTTAGAGGATAAACACAAGTTTAATAAAGTAGCAGAAGATCTAGAACTTTATACCTGGGGCTCTTACTATCCTACCTACATCGGGGACATCCTTGCCAATAGGTATTGCATAGACTACAAGCTGGGCCATAGTGGTTTCTCTGTTGTCTGGATGGCTTATAATATGCATAGCAAGAGAGATATCGCCCTTAAGATTATGGTACTAGGAGACTCTGGAGAGCGTGAGTGCTATATGCAGGATGAGATTAAAAACTCTGTGTCAGATACCTCTTGTCTTCTGGTATACCAGGATACGTTTCTTATTACGGGCTCCTGTGGCCGTTATCGAGTTCTTGTTCTCCTATTACAGGGCCCGAACCTCAGGGACTATGCCTAAGAGAAACCGATTGTTGCCAGGATGTTGGCTGTAAAACAGCTGCTGTAAGCCCTGAAGGCACTGCATAATGGCGGAATTATATATTGCAGTAAGTTAACCCAGGCAAGCCTGCTGTCTATCTGGATCCTAAATAGTCTTATCGAGCCTTACATAGCTGATATGATATATAGACCTAAATAGTGCAAACGTTATGTTCGGTCTATCCCCACTCTATAGCTATGACACTGCCACTAAGTACTAGTATATTAGACGTCCTTAGAGGATGATTTTACTATCTATACAGCAGAAGCCAGGAGAGCTAGTTATGCCGATAGCTCTACGGAAGGAGCTGGTGATAGATGATATTATTCTTGGGGATTTCGGCCTGGCAATTCGAGCTGGTATATAGGTAATGCAAAGAGGGCAGCTACCTGCTATATACTGTGCCTCAGAGCGAGTACATGGCGTAGACCTAAGCTTTATATCTGATATGTGGAGCTATATGTGTTTATTTGTAGAGTTATATGGTAAATGTCCTCTCTTTAGGGGCTCGGCCAGCTTTACAGTTATCTCCTTCATCATCAAGACCCTTGGCCCCCTTCCGGCACAGTAGAAGGGCTTATATGATGCAGGCGACTCGTGCGATCTTGAATGGTATAACCAACATCAGAAGCCTAGTCCCCACCTCGGCCTCGAAGATAAGATACTGCGACTTCGGCCTGATATTAATACTACCGAATTACGACTTATCCTAGATATCTTGCGATGGGGATTCTTGTATCTGCCGGAGCACCGCCTGACCGCAGTGCAGCTTCTGGATAGTGTCTTATTTAAGGACCTAATGGCTATCTATAGACTATGACCTCCTGCAGGCTGGAGTTAAATGGTATGGCCCTTAGGACTGTATTAAGTAGCTACTGTAATAACATAACAATTTTATAACCCTTTATTATGCAAGAGACCTCTTAAGTGGTCTAGTAATAGTGAGGTCTGAAGGTAGCTATATAGTTAGAACCCCTTAGTATGGGAGAAACTGGAAATTTACTTAAACTCTGCCTAGTAAATGTGGATAAACTGGTTTTACTTAGGTAATTCTGCCTTACCTACCTATAGTTGGTTATCTTTAGGGTGTTGGTTATTAGCTTTGTAATTCCTGTTATAAACCTTTAGTAGGTTAGGTTGGCATTCCCGAACTTTTATTAAGGTCTTAGCTAATAAAAGTGCTCCTTTAAAGCCTTGATTTACTATATATCTAAACCAATAAGCTTTTGCAACTGCCTGCATACCTCTATTAGTCTAGCCTCAATATACTGGTTAGGGTAAAAGTAAGTATGGCACTAATAGCTTAAGTTAGAGGTTACTTGCTTTAGTAGTTAAGAGCGAAGGATAAGCAGAAGGGCCGATAGCTTTGTTTTAATTAGAAAAGTAAGAGCTAATAGAGCGCTAATACCTAATTAAATGCCTTATCTTTAAGGCTAGGTTTACTAAAGGCCTTTCTACTAGCCTGGCAAGGCATATTTAGTAGCTTACTTATACATAGCCTGTTTTATTTTTAGCAACTAACCCTGGCCTACTAGGCCGCATAACTGCACTATTAGGTAGATGGCATTATATTGGACTACTCTCTTATATCCTGACCTAACGCATTAAGCAGGCTAACATTAATACATAACTGCCTATCTAACTAATATATAAGGAGAGCCTTAGGTTATAATGCTAGAGTGTATCTAAGGTAGGATTTATAACGCAGTAAGGCCAGTCCTTTACCACTAGTATCTATTTATAAAGGCTAAATGTTTTAAGTAAATAGAACTTAAGTAAATATAAAGTCTAAACTAGAAGCAATAGGAGGGTAGCTATAAGGCTAAATGCTTTAATAATCCTTATGCTATAACTAGATAAAGTTAGTATGCTTAGATAAAAGTATATACTTCTAGCTTAATTAATATAAAGGATCTAAAGCTAGATAGTAATATACTTATGCAGTTATATATAGTTGTAATAGTGCTAAGCGCCTTTATTAAAAATACAATTTATTACTTCTAATAATATAAATAGCAGATTAAAGTATAGAATATAAAAGTTATTTAAAAACTCCTAATAATAAGAGAGATATTACTTATATATCTATAAAGTCTAATTTATTTACTACTCTTATATAGTTACTAAAGAAAAACGCCCTTATTCCTTAGTTATTATTAGTTAACTTACTACCCTATATACCTTAACCCTAATATCTTCCTATATTATTAATATCTATACAGTCTATTCTTACTTTAATACATAAGTCTAATAAGCATATATAAGGTAGAGAATTAACTAACTTAGTAATTTAAGAGCTCCGAATTATGGAATTACTAGTTATCTCTATTTTCCCTGTTATAGGCCTAGTATTTTACAGTAAGAGCTTTACTTATCTAGAACTTGTTATATATGCTAACTTAACCTAGCACTATCTCTAACCGGATGCGTATCCGATAGCCCTAGGTTACCTAGTATATTTTTAATAGTAATTAATAGCTTAAGCATAGCAGAACTTCAAATTAGTTATTTTAGTAAGCTTTTTCCTTTATACCTAATATTCCTATAGGCAGTTCTACTAGAAAATCTAAGACTAATATATATAAGAGTATATATATCTAGAAATAATACTTATAATTACATAGCTACCCCTTACTTAATAACTCTATAGTTACTTAGTACTGCCTTAACCTCCTAGTTAGGTTAAGGGGGCAAGGGGTCTCTAATCCCTAGTCTGCCTACCCTTAAGACCGCCCTTTAGCTGCAATAAAGTATCTTTTTCTATTTGCAGGCCTTTACTGGCATGCTCTTTATTATTAGCATCCTTCTTTTTATTACTTACATCTATATACAGTTTAGTAAGAGGAGAGCATAGAGTTAGCGCTTGATTAAGTAGGGCTAGTTAGAGAAGGCCCTTATGGCATTAGTTGCTATTTCTATTATCAGTGCAGCATCTACTATACAGACAGGAAATGCACTGCAGTTCGCCACAAAGAGGTTAGGTGCCGTTTCGCTCTATATTAAGGTCAGAGGTATACTGCAGGTGCTTAAGTGGCTTGCATTTGCATTCTCTATAACATTTTATATAGTTATAGTAAAGCAAGTTGCTAGAGGGAGAAGTAAAGGGCTGCCTGGTGGCGAGAAACTTACGAGCTTCCCTATACCGCTGCCGCTGCTGCCCCGAGGACTACAGCCTCTTCCTCCTCCGCCACTACCTCTGCCTTCTTAATAATAAAGTATCTTTATTATATAGTTACTAAAATAATATTAATACACTAGGTTGTATATATATAGCTAGCTACTTAATTATTTTATTAAAGACTAGATATATCTCTATACTGCCTTATAGGTAAACTAGAGTTTGTTAGTTGCCCTATATTATGCTAGCGTCTACTTAAGACCTATTAGGCTATAATTTCCTTGCTATCTTACTCTATTATGTTATTGAAAACTTAATATATTTATAATGCCTCTATACCTCCCCAGATTACCCTTTTACCTATCTATCTCTAAACCTGTTCCTTCCTTTACTTATCTGTTTACTTATCCCTATAGGAAAATCCAAGCCGGCTATATAGCTCTTTACTTTCCCTTAGTAAATATATCTATACCCAGGCAATAATAGATATTATAACCCCCTTATACTAGCACTTGCCATTTACAACTCTTTTCCAGCCGCCCTCCTTACTATTCTCTTCCTAGCTATTATATAATTCCTGCAGCACAAAACATCCTAAATAATAACTAAAATCCTCTACTACCTTACTTCTCTATATATACTTTTCTATACTAATAACAAGCTTATATACCTCCTATACCTGCCTACCTATTTCTATTACTTTATTATAATATAGCCCTAAGTATATCCTATTATTACCTAAACCCTGCCACTTACAGAATAGGCAACCCTTAAGGACTCAATCTGCAAGCTTCTTTTTATAGTCTAAAAAGTCTTAATGCTCTTGGGCTACCAGGGTCACAGCATAATACCAAGCATGTTCTACCTCTAGCTCCCGTTGCTACATATTACCTTCCTCTCTATCTTCTATTATACCGCATTCATTCTCTCTTTTTTCTTCATCTATATAATATTAGCAGACATCATATAGCTCTTTGCCCCTTCTACAGCCCTCTCGGTCATTTCGCCTATCTATAACTAAATTAAGTACTACGCGCCGGCATATATTGCTGCTAATGTAGTTATCCGTAGCAGCATACTTAAATACTAGTAGCCGTGGCCTCCTAGAACTACCTTGCATATCCAACCAGATAATAATAGCCTTACTGCGTTGTCTATCTCGGCCTGTACGCCTGCTCTGCTATGCATAGTCGGCTATCCTATATGGCATCTCTATATATACTACTGCTTGAATATCGGGTATATTAATACCAAGACTAAGTGCATTTGTCGCCACAATCACTCTCCTGTCTCTATATTGCTTACGCTTTATACCACTTATCCAAAACTTAAGTTATTCTGCCTTCCTATCTTGCATATTAATCTTGCAATAATAAGCATCACAACCTAGCTTTGCGGCCAGATATTTTATAGCCTCTACTTGCTAGCAGTAGATAATAATCTTAGCTGGCTATAGGTACTCTTCTAGCTTCTAATTAATTGTTACCTTTGCCTGCTTAACGATAGCGGTAACGGCTTCCTTAGCAGTCAAGGCTAGGACTGACCTAACACTATAAGCCATATTACCACGTATTATCCTTGCCCGGATTATAATAATGTCTTTATGCCGTGCGTTAATTAGGCTAAAGAAAGCTGGTTTATCTGCTGGCGGCAGTGTTGCGGTGAGATAGATTATCTAAACCCTAATTAACGCGAGGGTACCCAGCTTATATAGCTTGGGCCGAAAAGACAGGCTTCCTTCCATAATCATATGGCATTTATTAACAATAATCCGGTCTACTTTAGCCATAACCTGCCATAACTCTAGAAAGTCTAGAAAGCGCTTTATTATAGCCGACTCTGGTATTATAAACATAATTAACACGTCTCCAGGTACCCTATCACTTCTCCATTCAGCATAAGATATCCTGAGCTTTTGGTACCAATCTATTAGATTACCTTGGAGAGATATAAGCAGGATAATTATAACAGTAAGCCTACCGGGATAGCTGGCTGCAGGTAGCATAAAGCAGAGACTCTTCCTAGTACCTATCCCTATAATCATAACTATAGGACTCTTATTTATTATAATTGCATTTACTGCTTCCTGCTACTTGCCGCGAAAACAGACATAATCTCCATATAGGCAACCAAGCTCCTGGTCGATATTGACTCGCCTAAGGGTCTTTTATCGCCTTAGCTATAGGTCTCTTATTGCTTTATAATGTAATAATGGCATCTTCTGTTTATGCCCCGGTATAAAAAGCTCTCTAAACCTATTAATAGCAGATAGGAAACCAAGCAGCCAATGCCACTCTTTACTAATAAACTAAAAGTTAATATATCATTTATTTATCTCGAAACACCCTTCCATAATAAGCCTGCCATATACCAACCCTGCAGTTAAGGAGCCATAGCAAGCCTATACATCCTAGATACTGTCCTGTTCCATGTTGCTATTACTATCGCTGCTATAACCCTTATTAGCTTCTCTAATAAGAGATGCATAAGTAGTAGTGCCGTTGTGGAAATAGCGTCGCGTAATTGTGATAGAAAGATGTCTCCAGCTACTAATAGTAAGTCTACCTTGATAACTTTCGAGGCTCATTCGGCGTAGGATGCGGGTCATCTGTGCAGATGTCTAATGTAGGCCGGGGCCTAGACGTGGCGGCTTGGCTTTTGTCTCTCTTTAAGGACGCCCACGTATATCCTCCTTATTATCGCTTCTATTACTGCTAGTCCCATATCCATCTTTCCTATCATTATCATTTAAGTCATTAAGGGTTTCTTCCAGAGCCTAGAAGTTGGAAGATAATTCGGTCTTATCCTAAGCATTTGCCTGTATATCTTCCTAGAAAGGTAGCACAAGCCATAAATAATAAATAACTAAGGCACTAACTTCGCGTAGCAGGAAACGGTATATGATTTTAAGTCACTTAGTTTTTAAGAATCCTTTGTGGTATCTAGCTACAAGCATAATAACCCTATACTTATAAAGGATATTTTATATTCCGCTATTAGCAGTATTTCTATGCCATAGGGTAAGCAGCTCTAATAACTAGGCGGCTTGCCTATTACTTAGATATATTATAAACAGCAGATATTTAAGAAATTCCTCTAAGTACTTGCTATAATGCTAAGCTTTCTTTTTAAGAATCTTAGGCTTACCCCCAGACTCCTCCTCAAACTACGTTCTTTACAAAACTATATTAATCTACACTTTGCAGAACACCTAACCATCACTTTTTAGCACTAGTTAAAAAAGGTTATTTATAAATAAATAGCCTATACTGGCATCTACTGCATTATCAATAAGCTCATCCCACAGAATCTCTAGCAATCCAAGTTCAATAGGTAACTGATTTTTATACTTGTTATATAAAAGTAGGTACCTATACAGCAGCGCCTCGGCTTATTATAGAGCAGTCTATAGCATAGACTGGATGCCAAGAACACTAACCTAAATGCCCTTATATGTCGCCTTCTTATTATCCTAATTAACTAAACCTAGCATAGCCTGCTAACCGCTAGCTACCATGCCGTAATTGCAAAGCCGAATAATGAATTGCGTTAGCATGGTATCCTAACCCTTAGCGCTGCTAACTAGAAACCGGCGTGTTATCTCAGATATGATTTCGAAGTGACCTAGGCTTTTATCTTTAGCCTCTTATCTGGTCTGCCCTTAATCTACTCTTTGCTAAATATATAGAGCCCTCTTATTAACTATATACTTAATAAGAAATACTTAGGAAATCGCCATAATAGCCGACAGTTTGGGGGTAAAATTAGCAAAAGTCTCTTATATTTTATTATCTCGGATACTTAGAATAGTTAAGAAACTGATGAGGATGCTGTTATACTTAATGACTTTAGTAAAATGATTAAGAATAGAGATATAAAATGCAAGGGCGGCATCCTCGAGCTATTAATATAACTTAGTAATCCGCAATGACGTCGGCACAGGCTCGACTTTATTATTAATATCAATAAGTTCTGCTGCATAATCCATTATTATATTAAAAGCAGTATCTTAGCTCTTAATTAGCTTAAATAGTAGTCGGTCTAAGGCATCCTCGCAAGAAATGGCCCAAACTGCATAGGTAAAGAATTAAAGATAAATAGTAATATACTTTTTCTAAATCGGTTACTTAAACCAGAAGTAAAAGGGCATGCTGCATTCTTTGTGTAACTCTTTGTAATTAACTTTAAACAGCATATTCTACAAGACTATACTTAGCCTAGTTGCACTAGCAGCTTTCTAAATAAGGCGTCTAATAGCCGTATATATATGCCGGAGCTTAGCGTTATCCTTAGCTATAAAGTCGTCTGGCTTTATAGTATACTTTAATAATATAAAGCCCCTTAGATACTGTTTCTTATTACTAAAGTCTTTTAAGTAGGTAGTTAATCCTAGTTAACAAAGCCACGAGTTTAATACAGCCAAGTCACCTATCTCTTTAATAGTCTCTATCTCCTTCTTTTAGGCCTCTTTAGACCTTGCCTAAAAGACTTCAGTAGCCTGTTAAGTAGCTATATCTTCCCTTGCCTACTTAGCATCTAGACTCTCTAGATAATAACCTCTTGTAACCTTAAAGTATTCGCTATATAGGCCCTTAGCAAAAAGCTATTAATAAAACATACTATCTCTCCAGTATATTAAACCAGCATCTGCTTTAATAGCACTAGCCTTTTATAGACTAGGCTTTAAGTCTAGCTTAATGCCATGCACTTTCTAGAGGTGTTTATTTCTTTATTTTAAGTTTGCACTTACAGTCTAATAGTCTGTAGTAAAGGTGCATTAGAACCCTCCGCTTTTAGGCTTATTAAGTGCTTTAATTAGTTAACTAGTATCTAAAATAGGTAATAGAGCTAATATCTCCTTATCGCTTTTAATAAGGTTAAGTGCTTTAGCCTATAACTTGACTTTATTAATCTCCTTCTTTATAAGTCTATATAGTTTACTGTAAAGATGTGCCTGGATTCTTTAGTATATAACCATATACCTACATAACTTACAGTATAAAAGGCATAGGTTATTTATATAATTAAAATATTCCATTATACTAACTCAATAATAGATAGTAGTATTAATGGCAATATAAGAGTAAATTAGAGAATATCTTTTTCCAAATCTATAGCGGCTTAAACCCCTTTTACCTGCTTCTAAGGCAAACTTACTTTTCTTCTATTAATAATAGCTAATATAAGTACAACCGCTATATCTCTATATAGCAGTTAAGGTAAGCTCCTAATTAGGTGCTGTATACAGGCTACCCTTGCTAACTAATATATATTAAATCTAATATCTACTATTAAATCTAGTAATTAATCATATCCAAAGCATTTATTTAAGGAAAAAAACATTTTATTATAATCCTATAGTTAAAGTTTATAGACTTATAAGTTTTTACTAAGATTATATTACATCTTATAGGCAAACTAGAGTTTATTAGTTACCTTAGATTTAGTTTATCGGCTGCCCTATGTTATGCTAGCGTCCTTTTATTTCCTATTAAAATTAGTTCATTAGTTGCCAAACGATACGGGGGATAATATTAGGTTTACTTTTAGCACTATAATTACAAATTTAGAGCTAGTAGTTATATATAATGGCAAATACTTTATTATATATCTACATGCTAATAACTTCTCTAAGTTGCCTAAGTTAAAAGAATTATATCTCTTTTTCTTAAAAGTTACTAAAGAGTTTAAGCTAGATAATATAACTATTAAGGACTTCTAGGATTAGATTATTAACCCTTTACTCCCTATTTTCTAAAAACTACCTACTCTAGATAAGTTAACACTACTAACCTTAAATAAATTTTTTAACCCTAAAACCTTTATTTATACCTTATAAGCAGTTTCTAGCAAACTAATACCAGTACTTAAAAGAGACAGATAATATAAATCTTTATTTAGTATTTCTCTTATAGATAAATTCTATATACTATTAGTATCTTTTAACCTATCTAAAGTATAAATTTATTAAGAGAATATAGTCAGTCTGCCTTCTTATATACTGCATAAAGTCCTTTTAAATAACAGGACAATTACATTCCTAAAGCTTATACATTATAGCAATAAGCAGTTCCTTAAAAATAAGCTAGATATATATAAGAAGATTAATAGAGCATAGCTTAATAACAAGCTTAGGATTTTATACCTCTATGGCCTAGTATAGAATAATAATAGCATTATTTTCAATCTTTTACTTACCTATATTAACTATAAATATATAATACTATTATATTTAGTATAGCCAGGGATGCAAGTTGCGCAAAGGGAGAAATAAGTTGTATAAATTTAGGAAATTATTAATTAACTATATAATACTGGAATTATTTAGGGAGATACTAAACCAGATAATATCCTAATTAACGGAAATTAAGATACTTAGGTTATTAATTTTAGTAGCAGATATATAGAGAGATAGGTACCTAAGAGCCTTGCCAGGATAATAGAAGGTAATTGCATTACGCTTAAGAAAATAGTAAATTATATTTTTACCTAATATAATAATCTTAAGCTACTTTACCTTAAAATGGAAATGTTATATATAATAATATAATTTACTATAAATTATTATTATTACTATTATATATTATAATATAATAATATTTAGTATATACCTTAGTGTAAATATTATAAATAGTTTTAGTAATATAAACTTAGCTATTCTTAGTTACTAAATACTCTAGAGCTAGTTTTAGAAAATTAAAAACTAGCAATTCCTAGAAATAACTTAATCTTAATAAGGACCTATTAAACAGTTTAATAAAGGTAATATACTAGGAAACTAGGTTCTATAAGTATTAAGGAAAGCTAGAAGTTTACTTAAGAATTCTACCTAAAAAAAGTAAAAAAACTATTTATATATAGGTAACTCTACCTTATTTACTTTCTACTATTAGTTATTAGCCCTTAATCCCTACTATAAACCCTAAGTAAGTTAATATTCCTAAACTCTTACTAAGGTTCTAGCTAATAAAAGCTCTCCTTTAAAGCTTAAATTTACTATATATCTAAACTAATAACCTTTTATAACTACCTATATACCTCTATTAGCCTAGCCTAGATATACTAGTTAAGGTTAAATTAAGTATAGCACTAATAGCTTAAGTTAGAGGTTACTTACTTAGGCAATTAAGAGCAAAAGATAAGTAAAAGGACTAATAGCTTTATTTTAATTTAAAAAGTAAAAGCTAATAAAGCGCTAATACCTAATTAAATACCTTATCTCTAAGGCTAAGTTTATTAAAGACCTTTCTACTAGCCTAATAAGGCATATTTAATAGCTTACTAATATAGCCTATTTCTTTTTTAATAATTAACCTTAGCCTACTAAGCCATATAACTATACTATTAGGTAGATAGTATTATATTAGACTACCCTCTTATATCCTAGCCTAATGCATTAAGCAGGCTAATATTAATATATAACTGCCTATCTAACTAATATATAGAGAGAGCCTTAAGTTATAATGCTAAAGTATATTTAAGGTAAGATCTATAACGCGGCAATGCCAGTCCTTTACTGCTAATATCGCTTTATAAGGGCTAAATATTTTAAGTAAATAGAGCTTAAGTAAATATAAAGTCTAAACTAGAAGTAATAAGAGGGTAGCTATAAGGCTAAACACTTTAATAATCCTTATATTATAACTAGATAAAGTTAGTATACTTAAATAAAAGTATATACTTCTAGCTAGACTAATATAGAGGATCTAAAGCTAGATAGTAATATATATATATAGTTATATATAGTTGTAATAATACTAAGTGCCTTTAATAAGAAGATAGTTTATTACTTTTAGTAATATAAATAGCAAATTAAAGTATAAAATATAAAAGTTATTTAAAGAGTCTTAATAATAAGAAAAACATTACTTATATATTTATTAAGTCTAATATTTATTTACTACTCTTATATAGCTACTAAAGAAAAACGCCTTTATTTCTTAATTATTATTAATTAACTTACTACCTTATATACCTTAACCCTAATACCTTCCTATATTCTTAATATCTATATAATCTATTCTTACTTTAATACATAAGTCTAATAAATACATATAGTATAGACAATTATCTAACCTTATAATTTAAAAGCTTTAAATTATAGAATTACTAATTATCTCTATTTTTCCTATTATAGGTCTAGTATTTTATAATAAGAATTTTACTTATTTAGTATTTATTATTATATATATTAACTTAATATAGCATTATCCTTAATAGAATATATATCTAATAGCCCTAGGCTACCTAGTATATTCCTAATAGTAATTAATAGCTTAAGTATAATAAAACTTTAAATTAGTTATTTTAATAAGCTTTCCTTATTTATGCCTAATATTCCTATAGGCAGTTCTGCTAGAAAATCTAAAGCTAATAAATATAAAAGTATATATATCTAAAAATAATAATTATAATTACGTGGCTATACTATACTTAATAACTCTATAGTTACTTAATGCCGCCTTAACCTCCTAGTTAGGTTAAGGGGGCAAGGGATCTCTAGTCCCTAATCTATATACTCTTAAGACTGCCCTTTAGCTATAATAAAGTATCTTTTTCTATTTCTAGGCCTTTACTAGTATGCTTTTTACTATTAATATCCTTCTTTTTACTACTTATATCTATATATAGATTAGTAAAAGGAAAGCATAGAGTTAGTACTTAATTAAGCAGGGCTAGCTAGAAAAGGTCCTTATAGCATTAGTTACTACTTCTATTATTAGTATAGTATTTACTACTTAGATAGGAAATATACTAGAGTTTGCTATAAAGAGGTTAGGCGCCATTTTGCTATATATTAAGGTTAGAGGTATATTATAAGTACTTAAGTAGCTTATATTTATATTCTCTATAATATTTTATATAATTATAATAAAGCAAGTAGCTAAAGGAAGGAATAAAGGGTTACCTAGTAATAAAAAGCTTATAAGCTTTCTTATACTGCTGCCGCCGCCCTAAGGACTATAACCTCCTCCTCCTCCTCTATTACTACTACCTCTGCCTCCTTAATAATTAAGTATCTTTACTATATAGCTATTAAGATAAAATAATATAATATTATATTAATATGCTAAATTATATATTTATAGCTAACTACTTTATTATTATTTTAAAAAACTAAATATATTTCTATACTACCCTAGAAGTAAACTAGAGTTTATTAATTACTGCAGATTTAGTTTATTGGCTGCCCTATATTATACTAGCATTATTGCATTTCCTACTAAAATTAGTTTATTAGTTACTAGATAATATAAGGGATATTATTAATAAGGTAACCTTAGCTCCTATCTAATACTTACTATTATTACAGGTTATCTTTAAATAGAGGTAAATATAGATATTTACAGATTTACTTAATAGAATATATAATATAAGATAGGTATGTATTTTATTATAGATAGATATTTACATCCTGTTTTAATATAATGGCTATAATAGTATCTATTAACTTGGCGTTATTAGGAATAGTTATATATAGCTTAATAATATATATATAGAGAACTATATAGCTATTATTTTTAGCAGTTATAAATATAATGCTATTAATCTTATTAGGGTTAGGGAAATAAAGTACTTGCTAGCAGAAGCAGTAATACAGTATATAAAGGAAGTATTATACTATAATAAACTAATTATAACTAAGCTGCTTAAATGCCTTTATGGCCCTCTTAGCCTTTATGCAGAAATGCTAACTTTTAAGATATCTATAACTAATATTACTATTAGCAAGGGTTTATGCCTAGGCAAAATAGGTTAAAATATACTTAATAAAGAAGTAGTAGTTTCCTAGAGGATTACAGTCTTGGCCCTATATGGCTCTTAACTTAGTATATATACTAGCTAGGGTAAACTTAAACGCGTTTATATCTAGCACTTCTTTCTTTCTGCCCTTTACCAGGAAGAGCGCTAGGTATACTACTTCCTTATAGCTACGAATTAGGAGCTATAAGAGGATACCAAGTATATCTTTAGCTAGCTCTTATATATAGATATCCTTACTAATAGCAAGGCTAATTACCTGGTTAATAAGGTATCTAGACTGCTATAGTAATACCTCTTTTAGCCAGTATGCCTTAATAATAAGCTATAGCACCTATAGCAGCTCTATAGCCTAGTTATAGAGCTAGAGGTTATGCCAGTTTATTATATCTTTTAGGAAGAAGGCAAATCCCTGCTACTCTCTAAAGCAGGCTATGCCAAGACTAATCTTACCCCTAATAGAGGCCATAAGTAGTATAAATAATATCCTAGCTAGTATATGCAGTTAATAGTTAATAAAATGCCAGAGAGTAAGCATTATAATAGCATAGAGCAATACTGCTAACTGCAATATATATAGGTCTTATACTTAATATAATATAATATAATCTATAAGCTATAAATACTTATTAATGTTTTGCTATATAAATATATTAAAGTCTATAGCTATAAGTATATAAAAGGCATCCCGGTCTAGTATTATAGTAATAACGCCTGGCTTATTAAATAGCTAGTTTGCCTGCTTAATTAGTTATTACTAAGCCTCTTTTACTAGCTGTAACTAAGCGGTAAGTGTTATTATAATATATAGCTTAATTTGCTAGCTATAGCCTTATAATAAGTCCTTAAGGTTACTAGCTATATATTAAATTAACTATAATAATACTTATTTTATATCTTAATAGCTAGCCTTAATGTTACCCTTTTGGGCCACTGCTGCCTAGGCCTTATTGCTATATA